AACTTCATTGAGGTTGAGGGGGTGGCTGTGGAGGAGAGAGATTTTTAGGAAAGTTGTACTCCTTCTCCTGCCTGAGCTGAGACCTTGTGTCTGGTGCAGTCTTGACATGGTGGCTCAAGCTCAAATGATCTCATATCAGTGTCTGTTTTTATGCAGTTATCGGGTTTTGTAAATGTCGGGGAGCTGGGACTAACGGGTGAAATGTGGATTTGTTTGAGGTGAGGGTAGGGTACCAAGCTCCAAAGTCAACGAAGAATCAAACAACAGGCTGCAGAGTGGGTGGGTGTAGGTTAAATTATATTCATGGACTTCACTTCTCAGGAAGCAAGATTACAAATGGAAATCTTCCTCTGGCTATTCCGATGAAGTGTTGCGCAACACTTCACGGCTTTAAAAAGAGAGTGGCTCAGAAGGGAACAGTAACATTTATTTGGCCACAGAATAATATGTCGTCTCTTTTCGCCTGTCCCCATACCTTCCCCCCCACCCTTTTAAATGTTTTGAATAGTGTTGCAAGTATGGTTCCTGCTGCATGAGTGATTGTTTACTGGAAATAATTATTATTGCCCAAATCAGGTCATTATCCAAATATTGGTTCTGGTTTAATAGAACAAACCTGCCCAAAGGCAGACCTTTCTGAGTTTGATCCTGCACTCAGTGTCTGTTCAATGGACTGTGGGGTGGCATGGGCTAAGCCTTTTTCAATCCCTTTAGCTCTATGTAAACTGTGTTCTCTTACACTGTAGTTTAGCCCATATATTAATTTTGCACATTTGGATTGCTGACAGAGCTACAGAATGCTTTGCAGAGCTACCCAGTGTGTTCCTTCTTTGATCTCAGACTTGGGAAGAGTTGTTGCCTAAAATGCAGTATCCGTTCACACACTCATTTGTTTTAAGTTTGTTTTTTAAAGTATGTTTTGTCCTGAGTTAACAGCATTGGAGGCTGAAGGCAACTCTTCAGAACAGGTACAGTCTCCACCCCTGCTGTGGAGAGACTATCTCTATGGATTAGAGAGGTGGTCATTTGCATATCCATTAGGTACTTGGCCTCTCTGCTGAGACTGCAGATGAGCAGTAGGGTGGCTAACTGTGGTAATGTGTATTTGTGCTTTGTCCAGGATTTTCTGTGAAGTGCATTGAGACTAGACAATCATTTGGCATCGGCCACCAAATGGGGCAAATGGGTATGGCTGACTTGGTTATTAATCTGTATTTAAAATGGGCCTATCCACAGGTCTGGGTGTCCATACGAACTGCATTGCTGAAAGTTATACAGCAACCCTGACTGGAACAGTGACTGGCCAGGCAGTATTACCTGCTGTGCCTGGGAAAAGAGGGCGCTTATTAGGCCTGATAAGGGAACTCTGCCTTTCTGAATATCTTTATTAAATACTTCAGGAATCACCCCCAAACTTACACTTCTACTGAGAGCATTGAGGACAGTCTGCGGAATTTTATAAGGGTGGGCGGCAGCATGCAGAGCTTCCAAGATCTAGCAGCTCTGGAGTAGGCCTGTGGAGTGTCATGTGTCAATTTTACAGAGCTGAGAAGACTGTTGTCCTGAGGCTTCACTGCTGCGATCTAAATGTGACCTTTGATGACTAAACAATGACTCTGGGTGTCAGTTGAGTATACATTGCACATGAATTGTATAAAACAGCACAAAATATCAGTATTGAGGGATTGGGCTTTCTACGACCTTTTAATGATGTAAAAGACCCCCCCCCCCATCCCATTAATTGAAAGCTAAGCTGTTTTCCTGTGTCTTGTTTGTCCTGAAAAGCAATGCCCTGAAACCACCCAAACTTTATAATAATTCCTCCTCCTAGACTAAGCTGAGGCTGTTGGTTGGGCTTGATAGCATCTGTGTCGGGCTTGGCTGCAGCATACATAAGTTCTTGAAGCTGCAAGTAGGTAGTAAATTGAATGTCACAGTGCAGTGGCCCAGTGGTAATAACTCTTCAGGTCCCTGCACAGCATCAGAATGTGCTCCTCTTCCTTCTTACACTTCTGCATCAACAAAATCTGTGATCAAGGCAGATAGATCCTGCTGGCTTTCACAGCTTCTTTCTGTGACTGTAAAATGTAAAAGTCTTCCTCCATTGAGCACAAAAATATGATTTTAAATATTAAAATGAGTTCCTGCTATCTAAGCCCTCTCCTCCTACCATGTGTGCGCGCACACGCCATATCACATCCTGGGAGAGATTGAGTATCCATAGACTAGACAGAGCAAATGGGTAGTGAAATACATTCCACAAGGGGAGGAGATCCAGACATCATTGCAAAGATCCAGGAGCAGGATAGAGCGTAGCTGTCCCAAATGTATCTTCATGACTTATGGGTTTTTTCTGATCTGACTCTCTGATAAATTCTCTCCCCTCAGCCCTAACAAGCTGTTATGATTCAGAGATTATTATATTATCTCGTACAGGAAGGATTTTGGTCTCTTGGGGCCTTTCTGTGCTGACAGTTTTGTAGTTTGAAAAAATGATAAACTCCTGTCTTAGAGAGTGAAAGTGAAAAACACACTGTTGTTCAGAGGAGGTCTAATTGCAAATGTTAAATACAGGGATAGCTGTTATGCTTGCCTAATCGAGGGCTCCTGATGTTGCACCCATGGAGCTGAACCGATGTTAGTAGCCATTTGGATATCTTGTAGTATCCATATAGACATTAAAAATTTAAGAATTTTTGAGGCAGCATAAAATAAACTGAATCCATCACTGAGTTAAACATACTGTACTGACTGTATTACTCTGATTTATATGTAATTCAAACCTTACATTTAAAAAAAAATTATCTGAAGCTGTTGTAGAGTATCCTGTCTGCCCCAGTGGAGCCCTGCAGAATCCAGGGGCCTTGCCACAGGCGTTAGGTCGAGCTTGCTGCGGAGCACAGAGGATCTGGGGTATAGTCCCTCTTCCTGAAATACTTGACTTACCTCTCAGCTGCTTTGCACATCTGTGTCTAGCTCTCTTCTCACCATGTGTGTTTTGTTGGGTGAATTTCATATGCTGGTGCTTGGAATAGTTATTGTCTCATGTTTCATTGTGCGTAAAATGTTAAATATTTGATGCTGGAGGCTTCAAATGCAAACTGGTTCTTCATTGCACCCAGGTCCTGCTTTCTTAGTTCATACTGGCAACCACTGATATGTAATTGATACGTTTTGAGCTCTTGCATATTGTCTGGCATATCACAGGAGTAATTAATTGAAAATCATTTGGACAGATGTTTCTTAACTTTCCCCTCTGAATCTCTTCAGCAATTGGTCTGTGCAGTGCAAACCACATTCTAGTGCAGGGGTAGGCAACCTATGGCACGTGCGCCGAAGGCGGCACGCGAGCCGATTTTCAGTGGCACTGACACTGCCCGGGTCCTGCCCACCGGTCCGGGGAGCTCTTCATTTTAATTTAATTTTAAATGAAGCTTCTTAAACATTTTAAAAACCTTATTTACTTTACATACAACAATAGTTTAGTTATATATTATATATTTATAGAAAGAGACCTTCTAAAAATGTTAAAATGTATGACTGGCACATGAAACCTTAAATCAGAGTGAATAAATGAAGACTCGGCACACCACTTCTGAAAGGTTGCTGACCCCTGTTCTAGTGATAAAGCCATGTGTGTCATTATGTCGGCATGTGAGAGAGGAAAGTGAATACATGCTATGCTGCCCCTTGCCAAACACAGGCAGAAACAAAGTTCCTTGTTTGGTGGGACATGTTCACTTACGTACCCTTAAAAGGTGAAGGAGGGAGTTGCCACTTTGCTTAGTACTTGGCAGTGCATGAAATGGTGTCACAGGAAAGTATAACCAAAGTCTGGTTGAGTTGAGGGTTTGGCATGATGTTTGATGGGAAAATAATTGCAGTTACTTTCCAGTGTCTGCATGTAATCTTCCTTTTTGCCATGCTCTCCTTGCAGGGCAGGCCCTGCTACCTCTTGGCCTGAATTGAGCGTTGCAGATGGCTGCTTATATACAGCCACTGCACAGTGCTCCTGTGCAAATGGAATTTATTTCAAATCCCCACCCTCCCCCCAAAATAAACCCCCATTAGTTTGCCAGATTCCATAGAGATGCCAAAAATACTTGGTCCTCTCTGTTTTCCTAATAATGGTATGAGGTGTTTACCCTACACAACACAAGTTTCTAAAGAGCATAGATGGGCCCCAAAGTGGTTAGCCATTTAAAGTGTAGCACATCTTATTGCAGGTGTTAGAACCTGTAGCTCCCTGTTCACTGTTGGATGATCATAACAATCTTGCTGTGGATTAATTTCAAACAGGTTTCCCCAAAAGATCACTGCATCCTTATAACTTTTACACCTTTACTCAGTTTTAGGTCTAGCCACACTACAGATCCTTGCTATGTTATAATTATGTGTATGAACACAGTTATTGCACAATATAAAGTTGTGCACAGATGGATAATAAAATCAATGTTTGTGTAGGTATCCTTGTCCTCCTGCTGTCCTACAGTGATGAACAGTGAACTACAGGTTCCAACAACTGTTAAAGGAAAGGAAATGTGTGGCAACACATGTAGTAAACAAATTTAGGGCCTGGGTCTCTTCTCTCTCTAAACATTGCTGTGGGGCAACCACATCACTTCGCTAATAGACAAACTTAGAGAGAGTTGTCGTCAAAATCAGGTTTTGTTTACACACAATCCTTTTTATTTGTGCTTTGTCGTTAATAGTCCTGTCAACAAGTTTATTTTATTTCATGATTATTATGCCATTTTCATTTGCTCTGTTAACTTGTGAGCCATGCTGTAAATATCCCCATGCTTTGTTAGGGTTTTCTGATCCTGAGTTAATATTCCTGTTGTGACTTTTAGTGAGCCTCAAAGAAAGTAACCTGTGGGAGAGTTGCATGTTTGATATGTTTTGTTATCCCCGTGAAATCATCATCATGCTTAAACCTGTCTGCAGAGTTCCTAGTTGCATTCAATCTTTGTCTCATATAGGTCTTTCCTTTCTTCTAGGACTGAATTTGCCCTAAAAGAAATCATGTCATCTGGAGGAGCTGAAGATGATATCCCTCAGGGAGAGAGGAAAACAGTCACCGACTTTTGTTACCTACTGGATAAATCTAAACAGCTCTTCAATGGCTTAAGGTTAGTGGATGTATAGTGCTACACAAGTGAACAGCAAATTACCCTCTCTTTCTCCGTAGGGACAACATTGTAACCCAGATGTTGGTGCATGAACAATGCTGAAGTTTGTACAATATACAGTGTGTACAGCAAACCAGGAGTAAATGGTAATTTCTTGTTTTAAAACAAAATAATTAAAATGTATATGTTGGGGTAAGGAAAAGATCGTGCATACACACATGTATTACGGTTCTGCATACATTTTTGTTCCGAGGTGCAGGAACTGAGACCAGTTCCTCTATATAAAGCCACTTTATCACTTTTATAGCTGTAAGAATTCTTTTCCAGCTTCCTACAACAGTGTGCACTCTGGAGTGCTGCACAGCCACTTCCTGGGCTTCTGAGAAGGATTTAGAGCTGTGGAAGGCCACTGCATGTAGTTGGGTCATTCTTTTATATCTCCGTTTACACTGGGCATCTGGTTGTTGCAGACTAAAGGCTGTTGTAGTTTTTCTTGTATTCTGGTAGGGCTTAGGACCTGCAACAAAGAATAAGGGCCCAACTGCACGAGGCACTGTGTAGACAAGTTGCAAAGAAGACAGTCCCTGTATTCACTTGTTAGCTGATGCAATTTGTACACGATTGTGAGTCGCAGCTAGTGTATCATAGCATAACTATACAGAGCAAATTACTGTGGTTTCATTGATGTGATGTTAATGTTACTGATGTAGGACTATAGGACTAAAGTGGGAATGTATTAACCCTCCCCTCCAATAGCCTATTGTTAAGTAAGACTGCCTATACATTTATAGGTAAGACCGCCTATAAACTTGCATCCACAAATTCCTTTGCAGAAATCTGTGTGGCTATTTGGGTTTCTTGTGTGTTGCCAGGATGGAAATGACTGACAGTTTTGTGGATGGAGATGGGATTCAGTTCTTTCCTGCTATATAACAAGTGTCTTTGTGAGTGGGCTTCCTGAATTGACAGTTAAAAAAGTGAACTGAGAAATACGGATGCTTGTGGGCTCCTCTCTCCAGTTCTGGTTCTTTATATTCAGGGACATTATTTTTTTCCATTCCCTTTACATTTAATCACCTTATAAAAGCAATGATTGGGCGGGGGCAGAGGGGTTGAGTATCTGCATTCCTTACCTTTGAATTCATTGTGATTTTTTTTTTCCGTATTTGCTTAGATTGTAAGCTCCTTGAGGGCAGGGCTTTCATCTCCTCTGTTCTGTACGTTGCCAAATGCGTTGTTGGAGCTCAACAAATGAAGACTAACTTTTCTAGTTCAGAAATGCACACTGCCTAAGAAGCTGCGGATCCAATTTGCATGTGCAGCTCTTATGGTTTTATATAGTGCCCATCTATTAAAGAATGGGTAAGTATGTCTTAAAACTTGCTGGTGTGGAAATTCCACATGCCTGATTGTTGACTGACCCCAGGGTTCAGAACACTTTTAAAGGTGCAGGCAAATTCTAGGAGTCTAGTCTGACTAAACAGACTCGTACCAATTGTGCACTTTCACAGTATTTTTCTAAATAGATATTTTTTGCATTAAATGTTGCACATGTTAGCCACCCAGAGAGTCATAGAGTTTAAGGTCAGAAGAGACTACGAGAAATTAGACCGAAGTATTACAGCCCACAGGAGCCTAACTGTTATGTACCACAGGTAGAGAACAGGAGAGACCGAGGAGCACCAATGCCTGTGGCCCCTGCAATGGGTTATACACAAATAGTCCCAGCAAGTGATCCACACCCATACGCTTGCAGAGAGAGGTTAAAACACCCCAAGGTCACTGCCAATCTGACCTGCAGGGGAAAATTCTTTCCAACATATGGCAATCAGAGAGGCAGCGTGGCTTAATGGCTTGAACATGGAAGTAGAATCTTATCCTAGGTCTGCCATAGGATCCTAGTATGACCTTGGACAAGTCACATCACCACCTCTGTGTCTCAAAGTTCTCCAGCTATAAAAGGAGAGCAATAATATTTCTTTGCCTGCCTCCCAGGGGAGTTGTGGTGGTGTATTAGGTAGTGTTTCTGTAAAGTGCTCTTAAGCAGTGAAGCACTGAATGAGTGCTAAGTGTTATAGCTGCAGTATAAAGCTTAAACGGAATCCATGAAAAGCTAGTTACTGATCAGTTCTGTTCTTTCAGTCAGCTCCGGTAGAAGGTGTGTACTGGAGAGTCCGTTGTGTGCTAGCAATGTATCTTATTGAATCTGTTCAGTTTTCTCCCGATTGCCAAGGTGACTTTCCAAAGTCTGCTTTACATACGGTCTTCTCTCTGCATGTTGTTGGCTGCATCAGTGGCACTAACTGTCTTTCTTCCTAAAGCCTTAACTGAAAAGACTTCTAGCTATGCTGTTGAGTAAAAGAGCCTGTCAGGGTAATGGCTCTGAATTCTGACTTGCCTTTTCATGTCTATTTGCAGTGTTTATTCGGTATACTACGTGTTTTAAAAACAAACCTTCAGCCATTTTCCTTACAAGCGCAAACTGCCCCCACTCCCACCCCTCTCCAACAGTAAACCTGGGGCAGTTAGGCAACTGTCTTTTACAAGATCACCTGCATGCTGCCCTGGCCCCATTCTAATTTAATAATGTAGCTGACAACCCTGTGGTAATGAGGTGGCATATGCACTATACTGGAAACACTCTAACATCTTGCAAAGCAGCTCCATTCACCTTGCTCCCAAGGAACTCTGGTATGCACCAGTTCTGAAACATTAGCTAAAAACGCTCTGAAGTTGAGCAGGTTGTCTTTCTAATGTGAGATTTGCACATCCTGTACTTCTCAGAAAGAGCTTAGGGCTTGTCTACTTGGAAAGTTAGCATGGAATTAAGTAGGGTGTGAATTTAAATCCATTACATTGCAAAAAAGCACTTATTGTGGAACGGGTGTCTACATGGGGAGTTAGTGCACAATAGTTATTCTGCTTTAAATTCACATCCTACTATATTCCCCACTAACTTTCCCATGTAGAAAGCCCTTATGTAGCAATCATCCAAATATCGGGAGCATAGATTAATATCACAGGGGTGTGAGAACCACACAGAGGAGTCTTCTTCTAAGATGGGTCAGCATCTCTTCTACTGATCTGGCCAGCTGAAGCTCCATTTTGACATATCTGATTAGAGCAGATATGCGACTTTTGCCAGGTGGTATCTATAACCCCCTGTTGGAGCAGTCGGCTGGCTAGTTCTGTCTTCTCTAGTGGCTACTGTTTGCCTGGCACATCAGCAATAAAAGACTGTTAGCTCCAACTTACAAGCCAGAAACACATATGTTAATGCTTTGTCCTTCTCTGAGTCAGCATATATAAGTATCGAAGCGTGCTTAACAAATATCAGTGAATTATCACAACACCTATGGGAGCTAAGTATTGCCCTTGTTGGAGGGGGAAAGTGGCACACGGAGGGTTAAGGTACTTGCTGAAGGCCACCCATTGTGTCTGGGGCAGAAACAGAAATAGAACCTAGAGTCCTTGACACCTTGTTCTGTGCAGTTACCACTAACCCAGCACTTCTCAGTCAGTGGGATGCAATGTGGGAAGTGGGTGCCGAAGAAGTAAAGTTACATGAGCAATGAAATCCTACAGGCACTCCCTCTCCCATTTTGCTGCCGCCTCTGCCATCACCACCTTGGCTCTGTGCTTTCACTGATTCCCAATCATATAACAATCCCTCTTTGCTCTCTTCTTCCCTCACACTACCCATTGCTCTGCACTAGGGCTCAGAAATGCGTTTGCAAGGAATTGTAGAGCCAATTCTGCAACCACTGAAAGTATTATTCTCCTGTATCTGAACAGGAAACAAGCACCCCCTTCCACTCCAGCAGACTGATACCCAAAGCAACAGCTCCCAATACTCCATCAACATCTTCCATAACTCTCAAGCTTCAGCACCGAAAAACAACCTGTTGCTTCTTTCTAGGCCCAAGATCCCACAATCCGACTCCAAAGGATTTTTGGATATGGTGGCTTGCAAGATGACCTGAGCCTTTTTTAGGTTGTGGACCCAGACAAGCTGAGAAGTACTACATGAGACTGTACTGCCTCTCTCCTTCTAAAGCAAGTCTTCCTTTGCTTTTTAAAACATTTTTCTTGGGCTACTCTATTAGTGTTGACCCCTTAAACCATTTTAATTAGTATATAAAGCAATCTTCCCATTCTGTGAGCATAAAAGTGAGCTGGGTGCAGCTTTAAGGGTCAAGGCTGCAGAGTTTTGTTGTTAAAGGCAATAATTGTAGACTGTGATTTAGGCAACATGAATTCAGGAATGTCTGTCTCTGGTAGCTGACAACATGCCTTTTGAGCTTGACTGTATTTCCAGAGTGAAAGCATGTTGCTAATTGACATCAATATCTGCTGGTTTACGTGAAAGTTAGGCTGATTGCCTAGGCTGAAGTCTGAAGAATGTGTGGCTTCTGCTTCTCTAGTGTGCACTAAAGCAACTGATGTATAGCAGATCTGGGATGTATTTGAAGGTCCAGTTTTTTTATTGATTGCATTTACATAGATGTTGAAGTCAAGCACGTTCGTCTAAATGTCTTAACCACTCAGTAGCTGAGGGAAGGGCATTGTGCAGGCAGCCATTGCCAACAGATGCAGCCTGCAAGTTTATGATCAAAATCTTTGAACTGGCCACAGTGGTAAAAGAGAGAGTCAAAAAGTTCCCACTAGTAGTCATTTGCAGCACATCTGTTAATTCTACATTGTAGGCAAAACTCAATAGTTTTCAGGTGGTGTGGGAGGTCAAAAGTGGGGGGGATTGGGATTCAAATGTCTCACAAGATAAACTATGGCTATGTTTGAAACCTTGCCACGTAGTACACCATCTGGAGGTGACTTTGAGGTTCTTTAAATGAATTGTCCAAAGGGGGTGCCATGAGCTAAGACAGTAAATTGGTGGATTAGACACACTTTTAAACAGGTAGATGTGGCATGTCCTGCACCTTAAGGAGCAGATTCTGCAAGGTGACTTGTCACCTCATGTCAGAAGGGGCAAGGCTGGA